TCGCTGTGCGATCGCTCTATGGGGCGCTCGTTGTGCGAGGCACCACTGTATAATAAATACAACATAAATTATGCAAAACAGAGATTGTATATTTTCTTCCATTGGATTTGGATTTGCTTTTGTATTTCCCTAGCAGAGAAAAACACAGAAATCTTGTTCAGAATGACACCAGTATTTCTGCTCCACGGTCAACTCTTATCTTCTTCGTTAACCCATTCTTGTGGGGAAAGGATTTCATGATTAAGAGCAATGAATTACTTGGGAGTGCAGTTCTCTTGTATGTCAAGTAGCCTTGGAAGACTTGCCAGAAACTTGCAGTTAGGGTATTTTGGATCCTTTTGCCTCCTATGTTTTTCTGTGTGGAAAAGTGAGGCTTGTTTGTAAAGCTGTGATACAAACAAACATGGCTTCTAAGAAAGTGTTTTCTTCTGTAGCTTTAAGAGATGTTCCCTGAACTTAAGTCTGAAATGAATATTCTTCTAGCAGCCATTGTCAGTGGGGGCCATAAGGCTCCCTTGGGAGCCCTGAAATATTTGAAGGGGGCCACAGACTGGAAACAGTTCTTCACACACCACCTAATAAGGTTCACTGTGCACCTTATACAATCTTGATTTGGCCTATATTTATTTCATATTTTGTTTATGGTCAGGGATGAAAAAGGTTAACAATCGCTGCCCTAAAATGTGGCTTATTTCTGTGGTACTGGCCATGCTGAAACTGATACCTGAGCATGTGGTTTGCATTCTAGCTCTCATTTACTGCTATTGCTGCCATTCCCCTTCTTTAAACAATTCTCTTTAGCTGGACTTCTGCCTGATTGCTGTTGGAAAGGAAGGAAAAGTAAGTTAGACCTTCTGTCTCTCTTAAGTAATAGACCTTGCCATTCCATGACTTATGTACCTAAATGAATTTTCCTCTGTTTTTCTATTCTTCTTCTTGTTTTCTGTTTATTATTTGCAGGTCATGCAAATTATTGGACAGAATTCTAAATATTTTTTCCACAGAGGAGTGTGCCAAATGTACTACTGTCTGAATAATTTTTTCATACACATTATTTTTCTGAAAAGGAAAAAAAGGTTTTGTGATCCTGGCACACAATCCAAGAGCAAGAGTGTCTTGTACCTTTATTTGACCACTAAAATCTTGTTAACAGGCAAGATTTCAAGATAAAATGTAGTTTACACACTAGATAAAATACAGCCATATTAAGAGTATTACCTGGAGAAAGACTGGATAAAGCTTTATCTGGGTAACTTATCTGAATGCTGAATGAAATTTCCCTGGTTTCCAAAATGGAGGATATTCAATATGAAGACATTTTTAACCTATGTACCTATTTGCTGCCACATTTAACAAGTATTCCATTTCAGATAAGGTTTTGGTTTTCTTGACCTGAGTTATGTGTCTGTGTTTCTGCCATTTAGGAGCATTTCATGGAAGTAATAAGAAACCAAGAATTTGTGTTGTTACCTGCCACTGAAATTGCAAAACTGTTAGCAAGTGATGATATGAACATTCCTAATGAAGAGACTATCCTTAATGCATTGCTTACATGGGTACGGCATGATTTAGAACAAAGAAAGAAGGATCTAAGTAAACTCTTGGCATATATCAGGCTGCCCCTGCTTGCACCACAGGTAAATCGCTGTTATTTTTATAGCTTTTCACTAGTCTTTCTCAAGTTGCTATCAAATTAAGGTGATACAGCTTAACCTGTTACATAGAGAAGTTTTCATTTGTATACATTGGCCAGAATCGTACTGAAATTGGTTGCAGCTAGTTTACAGCTGACTTGGTCATGTGCCTTACTGAATGTTAGTCACATGACTGGCAGCTTATTGATTAGTTGTAATTTGCTGCTGCAATTTATTCCATTTTGTTAACTTCAGAATAAAATCCCTGTAGAAGTTTGTCTATTAGAGTCCATGCATCAAAATTAGGTTAATATTAATATAGTATCACCAGTATGCAGTGAATTAATGTAAGTTTTAGAAAGGAAAACAAAATTATATCACGCCCCTCATTATTCTAGAACAAGTCTTTACAAGTTGCTGTTACTGTAATTTTCCGTGTATGAGATTCCCCGTTGTATAAGATCCCCCCACTTTTCTAACCCAAAATTAAGAAATCAGTATTTTAAACATAAAACAGAATATATGTTTATTTAGTAATTATGTAAGATTTACCTACCAGTACTGTCATATTATGCATCACACTTAGCTTTGAGCATATCACTTTATTCAGCCCCTGGGTTCAGAATGCTCGGACATTATCAGTCCGTGTTACATCTGAGCACTGCCTACAAGCTCTGTCTCTAATGAGATGTGTTCCAGTTGGTTTGTTCCACATCAGCTGACATCAGAGAAATTTGAACAGCCTGTTGGAGCAGTAACATTGGCTTTAATTATACAGTGGTGCCTCACTAGACGATTGCCTCGTGGGACGAAAAACCCGCAAGACGATTGGTTTTTGCAATCACTATGGTGCCTCGTAAGACTTTTTTTCTATGACTGTGCATTGCAAGACTTTTTTTAGACCAATGCTTCGCAAGACTTTTTTTTAAGACCAATGCTTCGCAAGACTTTTTTTTTTAAACCAATGCATAGGGAACCTCGCAAGACGATTTTTTCACAAGATGACAATTTTCGCGGAACAAATTAAAATAGTCTTGCGAGGCACCACTGTACTACTGTAGGAGAAGACTGTAACCATGAGCCCATGTATATACAAAATACATACAAAATAAAACCTTGTTTCCTGTTGTTTTTGAGCCTGGCTTCCTCTTTTCTCTGCATTGCATGTGATATGAGAAAAACAAAAAAACAGGCCTTCTTGTCAGTGGCCCCTCATCTCTGGAACAATTTACCTGAAGAGATCTGCCTAGCCCCCTCGCTGAGGACCTTTAAGACCAATCTGAAGACATGGCTTTACAGACAGGCCTTCCCTACAGCGATCACCTAGCCCATTTCTCTCTTTTTTTTTTCAAACCCCCCCCCATCTTGAATTCTGCTGTTAATTTGGGTTGTATCTTTAGTTCATTTATAGCTTCTTAGTTTATTTTTTTTAAACCATCCAGAGAAGACATGTTCTAGATGGGCGGTATATACATTTAATAAACAAACAAACAAACAAACAAACAAACAAATCACTCTGTGATTCTTTAATCAGGATCCTCTTCAGTCAAATCACTTACACCAAGGACCATAATACAGTCAGCTGGACATTTGTTTTGCTCACGTGGTGACGTACTGTATATGGTACACTACCACCTTCTGAACGCTGAAGGTGCTTTGGCAGGGAGGTTTGAGCCAATCCTATGGCAGCAGGCAGGGAAAACAGCCAAGGACAAAAGGGGAGAGAGTAATTATAGAAAAACCAGGGAAAACCACAAACACAGTCCCCCACTTAGGCAGTTATTTTCCCATATTTGGGGAAATCACAGGGGTCAGCACATCCAAAGTGCAATAGATGACCCTCACCCTGGGAAAACCACTTTGATGATCATGGTATCTCCCCTGCCATGTATGAGTTGGAATGGCCCCTGAACCTCCTGCCCCTTTCTGTGTCCTGTCCCCCAAAGGTATGGTGACCCCCCCGGCAGCATCTCCTGATCAGAACAGGGCTGCACAGCCCCAGTCCC